CGTAATCAAAAAACTATGACGAGCCGAATTGAAATTACCCGCAGGTCGTGGTTTGGAGACCCAAGTGTTAGAATACAGAACGTTGATTCTCTCTGGAGTCTTAAAAGGATAATCCATCAATTCATTTATTTGGTCCTATATATAACTGATTATTACTCGTTTCTTTGTTTTTATTTTGAAGAAAAAAATATTTGATTTCGTTTATTAATTGACGAATTAAAGTCCTAATTTCTCTAAAAATATATTGTATATTGATCTAAATTTTTACAGACGTTTTAGCTGAACTTTATTTTTATGAGCTGTAATTTTGAGGAGATCGCTCCCTAATAATTTTATTTTCATAAGTATTAGGTCTATGGCCAGATAGACAATTTAACTCTGATACAATGATATATACTTTATTGTCAGGATTTGAAATCGATAATTATTTTTCCACAAAGTCGTGTAATAATTATAATATCTGATTTTCAATTTAAAAATCAATACTGATTTATAAATAAAAATTCAAATGTTTCTTTGATGCTTATTGATTAACGACTAAAAATGATGATACGGTTTTACATAAACTAATGTTATGAGAGATTTAATAAAAACTTACGAGTTCGGGTCCCGGTGCCAAAGGGGATTTTAAATTCCCCGCCCTCACCTCCCGGACCGGGAAAACCCGCATAGCCTAAAAGGAGGGGTTGGGAAGAACTGAGAAAAAAAGAGGTATGGTCTACTTTTTTTTTTTTTTTTTGTTCTTTGGTTGTATTCTAATTTATTGTGTTAACAAATAAGAGTTGGTGTTAATTGAAAATTTATGATATAACATTTTGATTTATTATTTTATGTTAAATTTAATTTTAAAATATGCTGAGGGAATAAGGGAAGAGGTTCTGCTAAGTACTTTCCTTCCCCATGCCTGTCATGTCATTATTTAATGTTTCGCCATCATATTTGATGATTGTCAACAATAAGTTGACAGGCGCAAATACATCTTTTATAGACAAAAAAAAATCAAGACATCAAATGTATTATTTGATATTTCAGTTATTTAAAATTAAAATAGTCGAAACCGATTCATATACTAATATTCAATAATCTTGTTTCGGGTGATTTAGTTGTAAATTTAATTGTTTAATAAATATTTTAAGATTGTAAATTTAATAACTCTATGTATTGATTTACTCCAACGTATTACTTAATTTTACTATCATATCTAAAAGATGGATTTTTCCGTGTGAAAATGGGGACTGAGTTTTCTGCCAACAAACAACTAAAAGCTGGAGTACCTCAAGGCAGTGTCTTGGGTCCAACACTTTTCAACATTTACTGTTTAGACATCCCACAACATTCTGAAACACTGTTGGTTACATTTGGTAACGACTCGGCAATATTAATATCTAACAAGAATGCAGGTACTTCAAGGCTTCTCAGGTACTTCAAGAACACCTAGACGACATAGCTTGTTGGGCTAAAAGGTGGAGAATAAAAATGAACGAGTCTAAGAGCGAAGTTGTTTCATTTACACTTAAACATGATTCTTGTCCTCCAGTGTTCTTTAATAATATTGCTCTACCATCTTCAAAAACTGAGCGATATTTGGGTCTCCACTAGGACAAACGACTGACATGGACATACCACATAAAACAAAAAAGAAAAGAACTTAATCAGCGATACGGACTTCTTTCTAGGCTACTTGACAGACGTTCTAAATTATCTGTGACTAATAAACTAACTATTTACAAAGTCCTCATTAAACCACTTTGGGCATATGGAATCGAACTATGGGGAACAGCAAAGAAATCAAATATAAAAATCATTCAGTAATTCCAGTCAAAAGTCCTTCGGAAAATTGTAGACGCACCCTTATGTTTCAAACCTCACGTTACACACTGACCTTAACACTCCTTTCATCACGGCAACTGCCACTGACCGCTTTAATAATTTTCATGACAGACTGACTCTGATAATTTATCTGATGATCAGTTTATATAAATTCTAATTGGTTTCAATTTTTTTTTCATACTTACTAATCTACGTATTCTAGGTTTGTAATATTTATTATTTTAAAAATTTTATTTGCCTACTCAAGTCTAGGATTGATTCATACTTTTCTAAAGGGTTTTTGTATACTAATACACAATTCATTTATTGGAAATATTCATTATGCGTTTACGGTATTTTCTTTCTATATAAATGAATTCAATATATTGGTGTTCAGTGAAAAAAAATAAAAAAATAGTATAATAATATAATTCACTTATATTCATAGTATAACAAAAATAATAAAAAAATAATATTTTTCACTTGTGAAGTTAAATAAAATCCTGTATTTATTTAATCAAATTTTCCTAAATCAGCTTCATCATTATTCAAAATTGAATAGTATTAATAATAATAAAATAAAAATGCAGTTGACTTTATTAATTCTTCTACTACATAAAAAATAATAAATTAAATTAAATAATTAAAAAGTAATCACAAATTTTAATGCCCATTATAGCTTCTCAGTACAGCCATGGAAAACATAGCTATACTCGGCGGGTAATGATTGATAGAATTCCTTTGATTTCTTAGTGGGACATGCTGTGAGCGCGAATGTTCATCATTGGGCTATGAGGTTAACGACATGCCATGAATGTTCAGGGCATCGTGTGACCGGAAAAGGCATCGTCTGTCAGGGGTTATTCACAAACATTTGCAACTCGCCATTCCCAATGCCCTGAACTACGTTAAGCGCAAATGTTCATATTACTGAGGCATCATGTGACTCCATCTTAATAGATTAATCTATTTTCTTTAATTAGATATTTGATGTAGACAACATCAAAATTATTTTTTTTTTTAATGGAATAAGAAGACCTAATCAGAATTAAGTTAATATGCAAGTGTCAAAAAATATACTAAGCTAAATTTTAGTTGTTTTTTCCCTTATAATAATGAGTTACTTAGTAAAAAAAATCGTATTTTTTCATCAAAATGCTTGTTTTAACTTTTGTGTCTCTAGATCGCTATGCGTCGTAAAGACATCCTGGCATTTTTCCTCTTCCATGTTATCCAATCCCGCCGTCCATCATAATACATCTCCGATCTCCTTTTAATCAAATTCTCGGTTCATCCCCGGTCTAGATCTACAATATTTAAATCCCGCCTCTTTAACCATTTCCTATCCATCCAGTTCCCTCGACATTGTAAATAGATAAGTTTCTAAATATGTATATTAATTTTTGTTCTCTTTTATTATTACTGTTAGTGCCAAATTTTTGTTTTATTGTATATTTGCTAATATTATCGGTTATGGCGTGATTTATTATAACTTCTGTTTGTTTATTCTTTTTCTGTACTTTCTGTTGTTACTCAGAAGCTATAAAGGAACTTAAAGCTTAAACAGAAGGAAGGAAATAATTTTGTTCATGTCCAAAAGGGACTTGTTCCAGAATTGATTATTTAATGTTTGTTTATTGTTATAATTTTTAAAAAAATGTTAAAACGGAAATGCTAAGTTCCACATGACTCTTCGCTATTTTTCAAATCAAAATTGTCCAGCCTTAACGACGTGATTTTTAACTAACTTCATCAATGGATTGGAAACAAAATTTCTTTAATAATTATTTTCCAATAATACCGGAATACTGTTTAAGCCACTACTCAAGCGTGACCTGTTAATTTTCTCTTTAAGACTTTTTTAAAAATATTAACGAATAATTACTTAATAATTGTTAAAACCCGCCTAAAAATGAAAAATTACAACATCTACACAACTATATTAAGTTCAAATTACAAGTAATGTCTTGATTTTACATTCAAATGGTACTGCTTTGGAAAAATCGTATTGATATAAATTCTGTAATTAAAGTTAATTAGCAATAAATCGAGTTGGAGACCTATTTTTTTTTTTTTTTTTGCTTTGTTAAAAGATTGGCATTGACCAAAACGCCTAGAATGTTATACATTTACGAAAGAATATGAACAGATTTGTCTTTAAACATAATGCTTGGTTAAACAATTTGAATGCTTATGTCGAAAAACTTCCCCAAATACTTCATCTTCTGCAAATATTGGTCCCTGTTAAAAGATTCTATGACTTCTGTACTTGAGGTAAGATCAACAAAATTATTCATAAAATTTATATACGAAGTGCAGATGAATAGAACTAAAAATAAATAGATAGATTGTTTCGGCCATCATCACATTCTTTACAATTTTCAACCAATATGCTAAAATTCCGTTGGTAATTCATGCATATACGACTATTGGTAGCTGATATATCGTGATTGGTATCTAAAGCCTACTTATAATTAAAGTATTCGCAACTTTCAAATAACAGTATTTGTAATCCAATGGAATAATTTCGTAAGCAAGACTCAACGGAAAATAATTTTGAAATATGATGCATTAGTACAAAGAGATTAAATCAAATCCATATTTTTTAGTGGAATCTTAACAAAAAAATGTGCATGTAAATTTGGAAAAGTTATTTATGATCAAATCTCCTAAACTCTCCAAATATTATATATCATATTTAAATCTATTAAGATGATGTAAAGTAAACATGTAATAAATAAATTTTAAAAATGTCCACTCGATCCCTGATAACCCTTCTAGGCGTCTGAAAAGAAGATGGCCTCGTGATCTCGTGATTTAGAAACTATAATAGAATTCTACCAATGGATTCTTGTAGATTCTTTACATGCCTTGTCATATCATGCATTTCTCTGTATCACTTTTGCTGAATGTATAATGATTGCATAGTAAATTTTATAAATAATAAAAAAAAATGTCATCATCCCCAATAGAATTATTGGTGCGTTTGCTTAGTATCTTACATTAAGGTTAAATATAAATTTTAGTGCCTTTAACAAAACAGCCTTTTTGCAATATAAATTGTTTTCAACCAGTTATGCTATAAATATAAGGAAGTTTTAATTTTGCTTTTTTTAGCTAACTGCAAGATATGAATATGAATATGAAGTTTCATCAGTAGACCAATGTATACACCAATGAAAACACAGAAATATTGAAAAGTTGTTTATTTACAATTCTTGCAACATATGTACAAATATATTAAAATCATGGCCTCAATCGTATAGTCGTACTGGTAACAAAACTGAGTGAGATATGTAAATCGTATACATGATAAATAAATTATTGAGCGTCGCTTATTTACCGGGTTTTGGGTATGAGTACCCTGTGGATGGAGAGAAGCTTGTACCGGGTGTGTCATATGATGGGGATGGCCTGTAGCCAGGGGCTGGGCGTCCGGGAGCTGGGTAGCCAGTTCCGGGGAAACCTGGGGCTCCTGGAGCGCCTGGGTATCCTGGTGAGCCTGGAGCTGGGAAACCTGGAGCACCTGGGTAACCTTTACCTCCTGGAGTGCCTGGGGCACCTGGATATCCTGGACCACCTGGAGTACCTGGGTAGCCTGGAGCACCTGGGCCTCCTGGATATCCTGGACCACCTGGAGTACCTGGGTAGCCTGGACCTCCTGGGCCTCCTGGATATCCTGGACCACCTGGAGTACCTGGATAGCCTGGAGATGGACGGCTAGGTCCAGTGGGATATGAGGGAACACGACCACCTGGTCCACCTGGATAGCCTGGAGTTGGGCCACCGGCTCCTTCTCCTTTGTAAGTTCCATCGTCAAAGATACCGGCAGCTTCGTCGGCGGCGTTCTTCTCAAGAGCCCTGAGGATCTCTTCTGGGATTGGTGGTGGGGTTGGGAGGTGAGCACCTTGTGGGATGAAACCGTTTTGGTCAGCGGTGTAGGTAATTTGGATTGGTTGTCCTTCAGGGGATGTGTAAGAGAATCCGCCCTGTGCGATGGTTCCAGAGTCTGGGGCTGGTACGCTTCCACTTTCTTGAGCTTGGATACCATTACCGGTTTCATAGCTAAAGTACAAGTAAACATTAAATTATAATGCGATTATTCATAAAGTTTTATTATTGTAGAATGAATTTATTTTATATTTAGTATTCACTTTACCTGTAAGAGTATGTGCCATCTCCCAAGTTGGGTTGGTTGGATTGGGAAATGATAGGGATGATGGGTCCAGATGGACCTGCTGGTCCTGGGTAGGATGGTCCGACTCCTGGGCCACCGGGGAAACCTGGTGCGCCTGGTGCTCCTGGGTAACCTGGTGCTCCTCCTGGTCCTCTTGGGAAACCTGGTGCTCCCGGTGCTCCTGGATAACCTGGTGTTCCTGGGTAACCTGGTGCTCCTCCTGGTCCTCTAGGGAAACCTGGAGCTCCTGGGGCTCCTGGGTAACCTGGCGCTCCAGGGAATCCCGGTGCTCCACCAGTTCCTGGTCCTCCTGGATAACCTGGTGCTCCTGGGAATCCGGGTGCTCCACCGGTTCCTGGTGCTCCTGGGTAACCTGGTGCTCCAGGGAATCCGGGTGCTCCTCCAGTTCCTGGACCTCTTGGGAAACCTGGTGCTCCACCTGTTCCTGGTCCTCTTGGAAAACCTGGTGCTCCTGGTACTCCTGGCACTCCGTAGTTTGTTGATGGTCTACGAGGTCCTGGAGCTGCAAGAGTGAAATTTTCTTGATAAAACAAACTACATATAGATATTAAAGTACATGACTTATTATTGCTAGATTAAGCATTAATTAATAAAAACGATAAGAGATGTCATGCCAACCCAGATTGGTGATTATTTTTTCATTTATCTTTTGAATGACAAAGTCCAATTAAAACCGTATGAAACAAGTCTTCACTATCAAACTGTCCTGAATGAAAGAGTAGTGATAAAATAGTTCTGCGTTAAAACCAAGCCTATCAATAGAAGAAGGTCCACATAACAAGGAGAACTGTTTCAATAGGAAACATATCTAATTTTGTTAATTTAGATCATTTAGAAGATGACGATAACATAATAAGCGCGGATCATCAGTTTTTGCAAGAGTCGTGGCCAGTCTAATAACCTCACTTAGATAACACGCCACTTGGGACACGACTGCAATGCCCTTTGCGACCTCCCACAATCCTCAGCTTGCATTCTCTTCACCCGTAACGTCGTTTTATGGCTCTTCAAGACGCACCTTTAGTTTTATAAGAATCTACTAGTAAATATGATTAGTGGAATAAAGCGATTTTTAAATATGTATGCCTGCTTTATTGAAGAATTTATAACGAATGAAAATTCCTTGATTACAATTGAAATACCATCAGCTCAGTGATTCAATGTATACTGTATAAATTTTATTTAGTATTGATCAATGGTTCGTGTGTTTATTTTGGATTTAGAATTTTTATATGTCGAAGTTAATATAAATGGGTATTGGTTTAAAGTATCCGTTATACTTTTTATAATATTTTTATTCTGTGCTATGATTTGAAAGGAAAATAAACTGTTAAATATGGAAAATATTTTATATAATTTTTAAACAGAACACGTCATCTTCTTTCCGAAAATATGAATAGAAAAATTAAAGTAAAACTATAAATAAGAAAATTTAAAAAATACTGTGCTGTAACCCTTACATAACATAAGGTACAACGTTCTCTCATAAACTAGGCTCTCCATAAAAACTGTGAGAAATCTTTTCGCTGTGAGAACATACTGAAACTCGTGAAGTACTCATTAGAGATATTTGCGTCAGACTCACCAGGGAATGTAGGGCCGCCTCCTGGGGGTGTTATTAGGTTGGGGCCACCTGAGCCTGGGGCGCCCGCGGGTGGCAGGTAAGTGTTGTCCAAGCGAGCTCCGCTGACAAACGCAGCGCAAGCCGCCGCCGCCACTAACGCCAACTGTAACCAATACATTATACATATTATACACATATACATTATATATTTCAACTTTATTTTAGCATATAATACTATACTCATGCTTTAATAAATGCTAGTGTAATAATTTCTCGAATGTTTAAGTTAGCCGTAACATCGTGGTTACTTGAAAAATTTCTGGATCAATTCAAATACATAATTATTTTCCAGCCAATGTCATCTGGTATAGTATATTTCTAGACCCTAAATGAAAATTTCGTCAATTTGACTTGTAAAAAATACTTGGATCTACTGATATTATGTGGATCCTACATTGTTCCTCAGTTGCTAAATCGAGGAGTAGCATTTGAATACCGCCAAGAGATCAAGAGATCTATAATTGACCATCAAAGTGATCTTGAGTTTTTCTACAAGTATAAGTAACTTTGTTAATATATAATTTTTTTTTCAATAAGGCGATTATCACCTTCATAGAATCAACAATTTTATAATCTCAATTAGATTAAGCGATAATTAGTGAAAGGTTGGGGAACAACTTGTAATCTCATAATAAAAATATTCTTTATGGGGATATGGTTGTATAAGTCTCTCCTATAAATGGCAAAACTACAATATAAAATTAATAACAAGATGGATGCTTTCCTGGATTCTCGACCTTGGCAAAAAATACTCTCTCCACCATCAAGAATGGATTATAATTGTTTTGTCAAACTATCAAATACATGCAACACGTTAATGAATATGATATAATATATATATAAATGATGTATGTATAGAATAATTCACATATATTCACTCGTATGTTTGTAGAATGCATAATCAGATATTTGAATTTAGATTATGTCTAGAAATGATCAATTGAAAGGATCGGATTGCAATTTTAATTATATTCTCGACTTTTTAGATCTCTGAAGATCCTCTTTTAGTTTAAAGAGAACAATAAATCATATGAGTCGTTTGTATTCAAAACCCACCATGTCCGATTTCAAAGAAAAATAATTTTAATATGGAAATCGTGAATTTGTAATTTATAAAATCTATTTTAACAAAAACTAAAAGTATTCAATTAAAGATTACTAGATAAAAAAAAAGTAACGTTAATGTTTTATGCCAGAAATCTTCAGTTCTAAGTTGGCTGGTTGGAACTTTGTGAAACTTATTTATTTTTGGAAAAGCCGTAAAAGATAATATTACAACGCTTACTAGAATGGGGATTCCTAATAAAAAAGGGGAGCAAAACTTAGCATTTGAGTGAAATCCTTCAGAATAAAAGTCTCAACAGCACTCTAACCATCCAATCCATTAATAGCGAAGTAGGTACTGAAGATTAAAAAATAGAACCAAAACTCAATTTTAGCTATTCAGCTCATCCACGCCAATCTTATTAAATTTTCTAATCAGGATACGGATTCGATAATTGGCTTTTAGAATGATTTTTCAAACAAAAATCTTTTTATTCAATACAGATTAGCAATTTTCCGCTTATGTGTAAGCACGCATTGAAATTGAAAATTCACAAGTTTAGGATTGTGATCAGACTTTTACATCGTCCAGAAACCCACATTTTGTAGTTATTTTTTAACCTGCTTTAAAATTTAGAAAAACGAGCATGGTTTTGATTCTAAACCACTGATTTGTTAGTTTCATGCTATTTTACCATAGCTTTTGAGTAATCTACGATTTCCCATTCATAAAGGGCCGAATTAACATTCCGTCCACGGTCAATAATCCGAAGAAGGAAGGAGTACTCCATTCAGATTTAGCGATAACGGGTGAAAGGTTGGAGGACATCTCCGACAGTTGTGTAACAGTCTTTTTTTCCAGCGCTTCGCTCGTACTGGCACATTGCCCAACAAGCGAATTTCATATTGCACGTCTAATAAGGAAACACATAAGCATAAACAAATATTTGTGGTAACTATCTTAAAGGGACAAAAAATATCGGATCATTATTTCGTGTTAGGTGCCTACTTTTATTACCACTTAGGAAGGTTATATATTGCTACCGGGTAAACATTCTGGTATCCCGTTTTGAAAAAAAAAAACAAAAAAAAAATCATTTTCAGCAATTTAAATTCAACGAAATTAAATGCAATGGAATTTATTTATTTATTTTGTTTTCGGTCTCCCATGTCTGCATGTTATGAGCAATAGTGGCTGAGTGATTGCCGAAAACATAAATTATATCGACTCTATCGAGCCAGTTATAATCCTTTAACTGATCATACGTAGGAATTTGGATAAATACCGAGGAAATTTAAAATCATAAAAGTTAAGGAACAAAATTAATTTTATTTTCAATAAATCAAAAAGTAGCCATTGTATGGTGTTTATAGTTAAATGGAAGGCAATGAATATATCGTAGAAACTGTCTTATTATTAGAAAAACCACAGCGTATTTCATGTTATCAACCTCTTCGGACATGTTTCTTTTTTCAATTTCCCGAAAGCTATATATTTCAGTATAGAATCCATATATTCCCGGCATCTCGTTTGAAGGATAAATAAACTGTTTAAAACTCAAATTATGAAAAAAAAAATGTTAAAAGGACAAACAAAACAACTTAAAATTGCGGATGGCACTTTGCAACCCAAGCGGTAAAAAAAATCTCGTGTGGGAGAACACACCAAATATTTTATCACATATTCAGGCATCTCTTCGTTACATCCGATTTTCCTAGCTTTGAAAAATACGTTTCTGTATCTTTTTAGATAAGCGGCATTATCCACTGATTCCAAATATGATAAATAAAACTCTTCCTACGTTCTGTTTAGTGCCAAATTAAGGGATGAAATTAAACTTTGAGACTCTGAACTGAAGATACTTTTAACACATCAAGTATTTTATTTATACCATCTAAAAGAAATATCGTAGATATTTTTACGATCTAAAATAATCCATCAGAATACTCATAAATAGAAGTATTGAAGTGGAGTATTGTAACTTCTTGGATCTGTTCAGGCCTAATACTTATGCAAGTATTGATCACTTTTAATTATTTTATCATAGATTCTATATATATTATTTTAATAAACAATAAAAAAAAATTATCAACGATCAGATGGTCCGTACTGAGACAGATTAAGTAACAGACAAAACATTATCTTGGACAACCGCATGCAAATATATTAATAGCTATTGCGTGATTAAACAAAATTTGGCGACATATTATAATGTAAGAAGACATTAACATTTTCATGATTCCTTTAAAAAAAATAATTAATGGCATGTGTACATATTAGCCACTTATTCGTGACAAGGATGTGCATCAATCCAATTTTCATAGCATGGACAATTTCTTTTCTCCTAAGAAAAGAAGAAAAGAAAACAGGATCCCGATTATCCTAAAGGAAACAAAATGATCAATTGCTTGATATTTTACTTGATCATCGGAACGTGAGGAACCTGTCAGATGTATTTTTTTTTTTTTTTTTTCTATCAGTACTTCAAGGATATTGTCAGAGCTTGAGGTTTCGGTAGCCCAGCGGACTGGATGAGGAAGGCGCGATGCACCAGCAAGGTCCCGCAATACATCATGCTTCGTCACTGTTTGGAACTTATCATAGCCTTTTTGTTGTCATATTATTAATGAATAAACGATCGTTAAGCGATGTTATGCCTTTTATACTGATACCTCTCAATCTTGCGGTGATAAAAAAAAAATATCATTGTACTAACGATAGTAGATAGTTTTAGTTTTATTCAAATATCAAGAGAGAAATATGTAATAAAATAACTGGATTACGAAAATACTATACAAAAAAAAGAAATTACAATGTATCTAAAAAATAATAAGATTAAATGAATAATAACCAATTCGAATCAGCAACAAGAATAATTGAAACTGGAACGTTTATTTTCCATTTTAGTAAAATTTTTATACTGCTGCTGACATTGTAGAAGCAGTACTATTACAATAAAAAATATTTACTGGGAACAATAGTTAAGCAATTAAGAGTGTATGTATATATATATATATGGATTTATTTATTGATTTTTTTTTTTCGAAATTGTATCTAGAAATATATTGAACTTATTTCTTTTTTAATTTTACTTGTTTAGTGAAGACTGCGCGGCATTTCGGTTTTTGGGGGAAATCGCTTGATCCCGAAATAATAAAATGCTGCTATACTTACATGGATCATGCTGATTCCTAGGATGTTGTTGTTACTGTGAAGGAGAAGGGAATGATGCTGTACCATTGGCAATGCAGACTATTTATAGGGCGCAGACCTGGGGTGCGCAACGTGGAGGGGGAAGCTCCCTCTTTGCGTCATCCCCCGCATGAGTATCCCCCGAAGATGATGTCAGTTTTTTTAAAGAAGAACTTCCCTAAAAAGATGATTATTTTATTAGGATATTTGGGATCAAGAATCCTTTATAGATGATTGAAATAGCATTTGAATTCATCCATACTGCCACAAAGATTTTTATAAAACTTCGCGAAAAAATTATTCGAAATAACTAACTAACAGTTATTGTAATATATACAAAAAATTACAAATATAAACCAAGAACCACATTTTATATCTATGGTGAGTATTTATATATGCTAAGTTTTATTTTAAATTTTATTTATTTATTTATTTTGATAATTAAACACTACCTTTTCTTTTACTTTATCTGAGATATGATTTTACGTTTTTTTCTGTTTAATCATTTATTCTGTTCTAATCGTTATTCAATAGTTTTTATTTGTCCGTCAGGTTACAAATTTCTTCTTTTTTTTTTTTCTTTTTTCCTACCCCCCAGGAATTTCTTATTCAATAGTTTTTATTTGTCCGTCAGGTTACAAATTTCATAATCTACTTTTAACTACTACAATTAATAATTTTTATATTCAACGGGAATATTTATTGACATATCTTTATCTCTTTATTGATGTTTTCATAGTTTTATACAATACCAGAAGAGATAGATACATATTAAAACAAAATTTAATTCGATATATGTGACCTAATTCTAGATGGATATAATAATAATTTTTTTATTTTATAAATACAGATAAACTTAAAATATTGAAAAATAAAATAAAAGCTCATAAATTTCTTTGATATGTATTATTATTATATCTATCGAGTATTATGCCACATAGTATGAAAGTATGGAATATTCCTCCATTATACATGATCAGGATTAAGTATAATAATTTTAATATCGATAAAACTAGATTTTAGTCTCAATTTTTAAATTACATTTTTTAAAAATTTGATATGTGTAAAGATTTTCGTGACTATTGTAAAATATTAATACCTCTCCTAAGACTTCATTCAATCACTTTCAATTACGGAAACAGATCTCTCATCCAGTATCTTTTTGATGTTGTCTTCATATTTTTGAACATGTCAAAATCTCAAGACGTTTGTTTATTGTTCATGTAGGTTATTAAGAGATTATTGGTAATGAGCTCTTATCTTTTGGTCCATTATTGATAGCATATGATCGAAATTGATAATTAAACATCATATAATAAATTAATTAATTAATTTCATTTTTATTTTCATTATATCTGACAAAATACATAAACAAATGTTTTTGAATACGTAAAAATTGAGGTTTTACTATAAAAATTGTTAGTCTAGAGCAGTAAGTCACTAAAACTTTAAGTAGTTTTTAGTTAGTTTTTTGAAAACCTCACAAAAAGCATACAAATGACACAAATCCTTTTACATATCAAAGAAAGTAACACTATTGCAAAATATTTTGAATTTGTAGTTAGGAAATTCATCACAGTACTTGCTGATTTAAATTTTATGGAATATATTTTTAATGACTTTTTGAAATAAACCAACGAGTTTCTTTTTATAATTCGTTGTTATGATTCATCAATAACCATACTGAAACTATTAGGCTAACGATTGTTGTAAAAAAAAAAAAAATAAATAATCTGGCTCAGCTTGTGGATAGCTTAACGATTTTTATGTAAATTATCATAATGCAACATTGGACAATCGAAATATAGAAAGGATTACTATTTAAAGATTCAACAATTCGGTGGCAATAGTCACTAATAGTTTTAATGAAACTAAACATTTTAATATGTGTTTGTGGATTTAAACCCAATTCACAAATTCAACAAGTGAATGAAAATAAGAGAACCCCACCTTATTATTTTTTAATTATTATTCACCTTATTATTTACAATCTGTGGGATATCGGGAAGAATGCTAGTTAGGTGCATTAATCTGAGTGAGAGGTACCTTATTAAATAGAAAAAATAATTAGACCAAATGTACACTATTTTGACTTTACAGACAAAAAAAATATTTTATGATTTAATTTTATACTAGGTTACTTGATGTCTCATCTGAAACATTTTATACAATTCAAAACACGCGACATAAATTCAAAAAATTAATTTATCTAGTTATTTTGGTCAGAGTTATGTAGAGTTTTACAGTGATATTAAAATATTTAATTCTATGTCTACACATTCCTTTTCACATTTTCGATTCTTTAATAAAGATGTCCATTTTATAACATTTATTCTAGATTTTTTTTTTTTTTAATTTCAATTCTATCTTATATTTGTTTTGCACCCTAAGCATTGAAGATATTAATATTTCTAAAAACTATTTATAAACTTGTACCTATTATTATAAAAATATTTTATAAAATAAAAATGGTATTAAATGTTCAATGCTTTTAACCATGTTTAAGAAAATATTAATATTTTTGTAGAACAGTGTTAAAATACATAAACAAAATTAAAACAAACGATAAATTTAATAATACTTTGATTCAACAAATCTTTTCAAATAAATTAAATTAATATTTAAATAAAAAAAAAATATATATATATATATATATATATATATATATATATATATATATATATATATATATATATATATATATATATATATATATATTCCGTTCATTGAAATTCTAATAAACTGATAAAAATTTTGGATTATAATGTTTTTTGAATTATTTTTTTATTGATAAATATTACAATCTGTCTCAATAAATGGAATTTATAATAGAGTTCAGAGAGCACATTCACACAATATTTACAAAATCAAAAAATAAATAAGGTAATTTCAAAATAATATACAGCGATATAAGAACAAAATAAAATATCTTAGTGAAAGAAGAAAATATAAATAATAGTAATAATAGAATAAAAATAAATAAATAAAATAGAATTAAAATTTTCTTTAAAAAAAGAAATAAAAATAAACATCTTAGACGCAGGCATACCTATTAAGGATTATAATTATGAACTTATAATTATAAGTATTTTTTTAAATTTTTTATGAAGATATATTACAATAGGTCCGATTGAAGGACAATAGTAATAGCTCAAAAAACAGTAGCTCATTCACATTACAAATAAAATAAATAAACAGCAAAATAATAATACTACAAGTAACTATTGGATACTTAACTAAACAAAATGAAACTAAACTAATCAAAATAACTACTTAAATACTCACACGCTGTAAAAATAATTAAATAATATCAATGAAATAAACTAGTCTACAATATTCTCACTTATTACTATGGGAGAATTGCATGTTGTATTTATTAAAAAAAATAAAATAAATAAGAACACCTATCCATGTACACAAGTATAATTTTTTACTACATAAATTTTAAATTTTTAATAATCTGCAAAACGATAGTACTTAAATGCACTAAATAAATCAAGGCCACAGCCAACTTTTTGATAGAAAAGGGAATACAGAATAATGATCATAAACTTCTAGACTTGGCCACAACTGAAATGGCAACATCCCGCAGAAGGCCAAAATGTTGTTGATTGAGGTTTCTTCTCCAGCAACCACACTTAATTTCACAAGTAGCTATTCCACATTTATTTATTTCCCTTCGCAGGAATTCACCGATAATTATCGTTGGCATTTGCCGTGTACTGGTATATGTATTCCCTTTTCTCTGGATCTTCCAACATTCCTTTAATATTTTACACAAAATAATAATAATATTTTATTGGAAATAAGTATAAGAAATATAATTAGAAAGTATTGTTGATTATTGGGTTATAAGTAGTTTTTAAACCATTATGTGATAGATGTGATTTATTTAGATAAGTCCTATTTAAAATTTGACCTCTCATAAATGTCTCTTCATTCGAAAACTAGTGTTTTGTATTTTCTACTTATCTTTCTTGCATAATGTTTAAGTATACTTCCAACTCAAACATCCAATAACTCACACGATATCATAATATTTTTATTAATTAGTACATTCTTAACCTAAAATCCATAAATCTGAATCTTTTCTTTTAGAAAATTGAAAAAAGAATTTGAATTTTGTATCAATGTACTAATCAGAATACTTTGTCACTTTTGTATGTCATTGTTCATTTTTTTAGGTAGATCAACACTATTATTTTCAAACGATTTTAATTTAATTTTAAACAGCTTTTGACATTAATCATTATTTTATAGTTTATATAATGCCTATTTATAAAAATTAAATAAAACAGTATTTTACTTCAATTTTCGTCTTTGAGTGTCGAAATTTGTATGCTTTGGTACGTTCTTTTACATCTTTGAAACAGAAAAACACTGGCTTCATCTTTACAAAACATCACCAATTCCTCTTGAATGCATCGGAAACTGGAACAAGAACTAAAAAAAAACTGAGCAAGATCTCCTAGTCTTTGAGATGAAAATTCTTCAAAGTAACGATAGATGGAAATTGGATAAAGCGGATAAACATAGAAACATACTTAATTTTTAATGAACTAGATGTCGTTGATAGGATGGAGGACGAAGCAATCCCTAACACGATCCAGACGTTTATATAGGGGAAAGAAAAAGAACGAAGGTGGAGAGCAAAATTTAGATTGTCAGATGGTGTGGCAACAGATTCAAGGGATATATTCTGGGATTATAGGGTTTTTGCTAAATAATATTTTTTATTACACTAATCTCTTCCTCGTTACGAATTCCTCCGTAATTAATTATATATACAGAGATTGGTAGAATTTTCTATTTTCAGCTTTGCTATTCTTAGATTATTATGTTAGATGTAGTTGGCAAAAACTACAAACTAGCTACCGTCACTGCCAACGCAGATGGCATCGCCATTTACAATCGCAGTATAAAAAATACTACAACAAGACCAATGCACTTGCAGTGAAATAGTTCAACAGCTGGAAAATATCAACATTCAAGTGAATCCAGCAAATACAGACTTTATAG